AAAAAAAAAAAAAAAAAAAGAAACGCAATTGTTACTTTAAACAACCGGGGTTACATTTGATTGAGATACTGCTATTTTGATGAGAACGAATATGGCAGAATTATTATATCATTGGCCTTTGACTCACATTCCCATTTTTTCAACTACTTGTGAGTAAACAAAAACCTTAATGGCATACATGTAGGAAATTTTTGTAAAAAAATGCTCCTTCTTGGAACCTCTTTTAGAAATTACCCTCTTTGATCCGAGTAACAGGCTCTCTTTGTCATTTTTCTGGTTGAAATAAATTAAAAGGAGTGCAAAAAAAGGGGTATATTTGCAAATTCTCCTTAATACTTCAAAAGGGTGTTTGTAATCACTAATTTTTCGAAGGTAAGATTATTCGGTAAGTTGCCTAAATCCAATGGTACTCTTCTCCTTCTCCTTTCTTTGTTTACTATTCTTTCTTTTTTATAACAAACTGAAAACAATAGTCAGTTATGTTTATTATTGGGGTGTTAGAATAATACGTGGGTGAGAAACAGGATAAGTGATTACCTGCAAGCCTCCAATCACCAAAAGAGAAGAATAACTCGGATGAAAAACACAGGAATGGAATTGGTTGCCGCTGGCATTAAGCTCATGGATGCACTCTCCCGAGGCCAACGACCAAACTTTAATACTGTCCTCACTCACAGAGGCCAAAAGTTCGCCACTAAGATCCCAGCACAGGTAGTTCACAACACCAGAGTGTCCCTAAAAACAATAGCAACTCATTATAATATGCCATACCAACATCAACTGCAAACAGGATAAGCAGTTAAAAATTGCACACCTGGAAGGAATGTGTTTGTCGATCGTTCTCAACATCAAATATAGAGACCACCTTGTCAGACGCTGCTGCCAGTAGATGTCCATTTATGGGTTGAAATCTCACTTGTGCACTTCCTCCTTGCTACACCATGCAATTGAGATGGTCCTTAGTTTAGAAAAAAGAAAATGAAGAGCAGGAAGGAAGAAGATATATGAAATGATCGAGATCACAGATCCATGTGAGATATCCCACCTTGGACACCCGAGTGCACGAAAATGTGCTAATGCTCCAATAATGAATTTCATTGTTACTATCACAGAAACAGAAGACATCATTCTTCTTAGGATGGAAATCGAGGGACATCACGTGGGAAGTATGCCCTTTGTAAGCATGCAGACAATAGCTTGGCTGCATTTCCAAGTTTATACATTAAGCACCATTTACAGTATTTATGTATTTACTGTAGACAGCGGCAAGGATGAATGTACTAGAATTTACTGCAAACAACAGCAAACAAGTCAAACGAAAATAGGGATGGAGATGGTGCACGTTGAAGATCTTGGCATATTGGCAGTGAACCTCTATACTGATCCGCACCTTTCATGGATTTGAATGAGTATAGTTTCAATGATCACTTTCAATGCGATGATAAAAGTGTATTACCCATCTAAATATGGTTTAAAAGCAAACCACTTGGCAAAGATAGTTTCAAGTGGAAAAATTTGTCTGAAAATTGCAAACTATACCATTCTGAAAAGATTCTAAAGATTCAGATTTCATAACCATGTTCCTTTCAGAGCACCCTCTAAGTTAATCTCTGAGACCTTTTCCTAAAATGTCAAAAGTGAAGACTTCTGCAGATGGAAAATGGATGTGAAATAATTACATTGGCTGCATCCCATAATCTGACAGATTTGTCAAATGAGGCCGTCGCAAGTTGAGTCGAGCCTGGCCGGAAGCGCACGTCAGTAATTAGGAACTGATGTTCTTCAGGGGTGGTCTCTGTTTGCAGAGTGTTCATGTTCCACAAAACAGCCTAACCAAATAGGGAGGAAACCAACAATAACACAAATACATTAATAAGCAAAGGTTAATGTAATAATTTCATAAGAGGAGGTTCCATTATTAAATTGCTCATAAACATAAATTAGAAGAAAATCGTAAAACTGTGGTCACTATGTTGTATAGCCACTAAAACATGACCGACAGTACCTTTTTATCATGCCCAGCACTAGCTAACAGCTTCCCGTCGGAAGAGAAATGGCAACAAGTCACCTTATTTCTTGTCCGTATACAACCAACTTCTCCGAATGAGAAACCTGCAACTCAGACATACGTATCCAAATTCAAAATCTTAACTTATCGGCAGGTTCTATTTTAAAGAAGATACAAAATTAGAAACACCACCTTTAGAAGTCTCTGGTTTATGTTCAGTAAGAGTTTGTTTCAACGAGCCATATAGATTTCCATCACCCCCATCATGAGACAAAAAAGAATCAACATTGTCGTCGAGAGAACCGACATCTCCAAAAGTCTCCAAGTCATCCTGGATAAACAATATATCTTTAGAATATCAAGGCAACAACACTCATAATTCAGAATAACTAATAGAGGTTCATGCACAAGCCAATGGAAACACGTAAAGTAACACTTTAAGAACCCAATCTTACAAGCTGATTTGTAGATGATGTAATTCCACCAGGTCCTTCTGCACCATACATCATCATACTCTTGGACACATTATTAACATGCTGCATACTGCTAGCAGTGGCCATCCCATCACCAGGTGTATGTGCTGATTGTGGCGAGCCAGGGGAAGGTCCTACAGTATTTCCTGTACCTGTGCTGTTAGCAGGACCTGATGAAGAGTGTTGTTTTCTTTTCCTGTTGTTCTGTTTAGGTCAACGGAATGTGTTAATTCTTTGTGGTGAAAGCAGTAGATCAATGGGAGGGATGCTTTCGAGGTGAGCATTTATGAAACTAACAGAAAACATTGTAGTGATTTGGCTGAACCTCTATAACTACATAAGATAGAACTCACCTGCTGCAAATGTTGTTGCGGCTGCTGCTGCTGTTGCTGCTGCAACTGATCCTGTTGTTGAGAGGGAGCCTGCTGGATTTGGGCCATTTTCATCTGCTCAACGTTACATAAATATTGCAAGCGTCCGAAGTAAGTCAAGAAACTTCTTTGTAAATGTATCATCAAAGATTAATCATGAAGCTGAAGCAATTAATTACATCTACACTAGTATAATTACTGATAGTCAAGAACTTAATGTGTCGCATAAAATGATAGGGGCATCTAAAAAATTGATTTAAATAAATTTGTATTCCTATCAAATGACAAGCTACTAATTCCAGGACATGAGAAAATCTCCGAATGCAACCAAGATAATGAAATAAAGTTAAATCCAGATACCGTGTACATGAATGCCTACAGTGATCAATGAGATATGTTGAATTCCATCCACGGATTTCAAGTACACAAAACTGTCATAGTCTAAGATTTCATTTACATTATTAACCTTTGGTGAGTTTGATTGAGAAGGAGAGCAAATGGATCCATCGTTTCTAGGTGGCTGACCATCTTTAGCATTAAAATTACCCCTTGGTAATCCTCCGAATCCATAATTAGCTGAATTTCCAAGGTTTCCTGGTGCTTGAGCTTGTGCTAGAACCTGCTGCTGCTGTGATGCCAATAGGAACTGGTTTGGGTTCTGCAGATTAGGCTTCTGTGCTTGTAAACCCAAACTTGGCCGTAAATTATCGATTCCCTGCGTAATATGGTTTACCGTCTTTCAACTATTAATCCCCATGAACACTAGATACTTCCTCAAACGAAAGTAACAAGACCAAAGTCGAGAGAAACTCACTGTTAGCGGCCAACCTTTCAACGGTAGACCAGTTACTCCTGGACTTAACCCTGAATGACAAAATTATGATAACATTAATAACCTGACTAACCAAAACATTACTATTCTCAGTTGCACAAAGAGAAATGGAATTTTAAGTTTGGAACTAAAACTCCAATGATGGGCAGTTTTGCAAACTAAATAATGAAGTCTGTAGCAACAGACAATAAAGGAAGCAGTCAAAGTGTAGCTTCTTTTCCCAAAAGGTCAATGTTATCACTTAGAGACATGGCATCCTGCCAGTAGAATTAGGAACTATGGAGTCTCCATTACATATTATGAGAGGCGCTCAATAGAAAAGTCAAGTGCTGAGCATATTAAAAATTTAGGTGCGATCATTTCTCACGCCTTCAGCTATTCCCAACATAGGTTCATAACAGGAAAGGAATCAGACAATGAATAAATTAACTCAATAGAAATTGTGCTAATATTCAGAATGATTGATATAAAGGGAAGGTATCAGACTATGAATAATGTAACTCAATAGAAACTGAGCTAATATTCAGAATGATTAATATCAACAGTAATAGAAATTAAATATTCATTTCAACCAAAGTAGCCTCACTGCAAGGTCGTACATGGATTCAAGCATGTCAGCAGCACAAATATAAGGAGGTTTTCAATGAAAAATAAGAAATGGTATCAGAGATATGGGTGTTATACCTGCACCCCCAAGGCCAGATTTTGACTGAAGAATTGCCTGCCCATAGATAGATGATGGGTCCATTGGCAAAGACTTCTGAGGTCCACCCATGTTTATTTCTTGTTTGATTTCCTATAACATGTTTTTTCAGAGGAAAAGGTTAGTCTCAACGAGAAAGTGAAAGGGGCCAAATGAAGGAGCAAGATAAACTGGTTTGAGTAAGTACAGTTGCTAGCTGAGGCCGCCCTTGCATTTGCTGCAAGGCTGCAGACATTCCCCCAGAATTTCCTTGCATCATTTGTCTGAATCAACCACAGGAGAGAAGAGGAAACAGAATGAACTACTAATTCACTGAAATACGACCAATGAAATCTAACAAGTAAGGAATATAGTAAGACCATACAAAAATCTTACCCTTGTTGATTGGACGCCGACTTGAGAAGTGCCATTCTATTAGCATCTACCAGACCTGTAGATGTTTCGGAGTCCATGGCATTCGGATGCTTCATGTGTCCTTCATACATTTTCATTGCTAAAAAACTTGCAGATGGCTGCCCACCCATTCCTTCAGAGTTCATCGAGCTCATGGGACCCAACGGAGGATGGTTCGGATCCCTCCGCTGTAACTGGGCATTGCGCTGCTGCATGAGTTGCAACTGCTGTAATTGCATCTGCTGCTGCTCCCTTGCTTTGATTTGTTGCGTCTGAGGTCAAGTAGAAACCAAGAAGAAAAGTTTGTCAACATATGCAATCATTTATTTTTCCTCAAAAGAAAAAAGAATACAAAAATAAAAATTAAAGAAGAAAAAAGAGCAACAGAATATGTCAATCTAAACACATAGCATGAGAACCTCTATGTAAGCTGCAGCTGCCTCAGAATGCTTCTCATTCGTCCTTGCAATGAAAATGTCCCAGAAGACTGACCACCATTCAAACAGAAATCCTCCAGGTGCATCAATAGCTACAAACAAAATTCAAATTGTATGTTAATGGGCTATTATCCAGGGCATCAAATATTTTGAAATGGCATAATCAAATCTACTTTTTTCTGAACACCATCAGCAGTAATCATTCAACTTAACTATGATGTACAATAGAAATCTTACCCACAGGATCACTAGCAACTTTTCCCTCTGTCATAAAGGCCTTTGCAGAATTATGCAATTTTCTTTTCAACAAATAGTCATGAATGTAGACATCAAGCCTAGAAAAAAAATCAAACGCACAAGTCTACATAAGCAGTCGTCAATATTTAAAAGACAATAGGTTCCGTAAACTTGGTCTGCAAATGAAATATTGTAATAATACGAACGAAACAAACAAATCCTTTACAGTAAAAGAAACAAGATGTCTACGCCGGTCAATGCAAGAGTACGCATTAGATGCTCTGTTCTATAACAATTCAACAAAGTTCCCCATGATGCAGTAATCTAGTCACTGACTTAAATATGGCATCTCAACAATTTCCCAATAAAACAATCGAAAACACCACGAAATAGCAAGTCGAAAACCATACATCTTATCTGCTTCCCAATTACTCTGCGCCATGGTCGTCGTTACCCCCAAAAAGAATCTACCCCGTCAGCCTCTTTCCTTCTCTGACATCAATCCAACAACATAAATGAATTTGATCAGAAGATTCTTTCACTAAAACAGCCAACAAAGCAGAGCCATGAATCTCAAATTCAGAAAAATCAATTTCACCAATTAGGTTGACAAACGAAGCTCAAACGATCCGCGCACAAATCCTCCAACTAAAATTCACACAAACAAATTAAAGATGTTGACTTAATAAAAACAAGAAAAAGAGAAGAACATCTAATTCAAACCAAAAAAAAAAAAAAAAAAAATCGTCAATCCACCATAGATTGCTTAAATCCATCACGCAGACTAAATTTCCCTTAGATCAGCAAACCTACATAGGAAACGCAGAGAGCTCTTACCAATTTTCTCACAGAGATCACAAAAACTGTTACAAACATGCATACGCAGCCACGTTCTTGGTCGACTATTATTCAACTTTTCATCAAATCGTTCAAAAATATCGTACAATACAGAATCTAAGAGAGAGAACAGTTAGAAGGTGACAAGCACAGTTCATCAATTTCAGCGAAGAAAATATGGAAGCTTAACTGAGAGAGTGTAGCTTACAGAGAGATCGGCAAAGGGAAAGCCGAAAACAGCTGGTTATAAAAGTGGTCACGTAGGGATCTGGGCCTCAGGCTTGGGCTGAGGTATCAAAAGAAGCTCTTATATAGTGGTTAGGCTCGGATTGAGCCTCGGAAAGGTATCTTGAGGGTTGCAACTTGCCGGGGCGTGCAGAGCCTCAGGCTCTGTGTGGGGCTTTGGTTGTGATGACGATGGGGTTCTTATAAATATCGAACGGTTTTGGGCTGAGTTAACTCGGGAAGGAGCTGACGTGGCGGTGAGACGTGCTCGATGTGTTGAGGTGTTGTGGGAGGGAGGGTCGTTTTCAAAGGCGCTGCTTCGGGATTCGGGAGGAATCGGAGCCTGAGGTTCGAGCCCTCGCAACCAAAGGGCATTCGCCATATTGAGATATGGATAGATCTCGCGTCTAACCGTCAGGCGATCTATATTTTTCGCCATAAATGGACATACTTTTATTAACAATTAAAATATACTATTTTCTATTTTATGAAAAATATATTATTTTCTATTTTTTTTTAAATATCATTTTGGTTTTATCAACAATTAAATAAACCTCTATATATTCCCGAATGTGTTGAGTTTAAGTGGCAAGTTCATGCTTCGAAATCCTACGTGTCAAAATTTCATGCTTTATCATTTGGCTTGAATAGATTTTAATTTAATTCTAAATAAAAAATAATTTGGTTCGGATTACCATAAATATATTGATTCATTTATGATCATTTTAGATGTATTAATTGAATTTTAATATTATTTGCTATTATAACTATTAAATTGTAAATGTGTTTTAAAAGTTGATAACTTTTGTATTTCTTATCGGTTTTACATGTATAATATATCAAATTAATCATCTTTTGATGAGCTTCGATTTGACATCCATATTGTATATTTAAAATAAATTATATTTATCATTAATAATAATAAAATATTTATTAAAATTGATTATAAAAATAAAATTATTTTTCAATTAATATATTTATGTTTAATGTAGTTATATGTTATAAGTAAGAAAAATTATTATAATATAACACATGTAATTCGCACAAGTAACAAATGTTATACTAAAATATACAATAATGTATATTTTCGTATAAAAAGTATTTAAATTTTCAACTACTTTTTTTCATTAATTTATTAAAAAAAAAAATTAGCAAACAACCGTGTAATACACGGACATTGTACTAGTTAACTAATTAAATGACATTTTGGATTTTTTGTACAAAATTTTCTATTATTACCATCGTCTATCTAATAAATACACTACGTCACTTCATATTCACTTTTTATCTCTTCTTTTCATTAATGAGGGTTATTATTGGCAAAATAACTCTACATCTTTTCATTACACGTGTCGATATATACACTATATCTTTATTGGTAAAATATACTTTAGACATTTGTCGATATATTAAGGGTATGTTTGGTAAGCCAAATAAGCTAGCTAATAGCTTATTTGATTAGTTTATAAGCTCCCTATATTAAAATAAGCCTCGTTTGGTAGGACGAGTTTTTTTAAAAAGCTCGAGCTTATCCCATAAGCTACTTTAGGTAGCTTTTCAAATAAGCTAGTTGAATTTTTATATTTCAGCTAGCTTATCAGCTAATTTACCAAACACTTTTATCATAAAAAGCTAGCTTTTCAGCTATAAGTCATAAGCTATAAGCTATAAGCTCAAAAATTACATATAAGCTATAAGTTAGCTTATCAACTAACATAGCCTAAGTGACGGGAGACTCTATAGAATTTTTGTATGATAAAATGATAATTAAAAAAACAAAAACCGTCAAATAATGTTGATTATAGTGTCCGCCCAAGCCAACATTTAGGAGTGTCAAATGGGCCGGTCCGGTATGGCCTGCGTTGGCCCACGGTTCAAACGGGGCGGGCCAAAATGGCCCGCATTTCTACGGGCTGGGAAATCCATGGCCCGTGGCCCGCCCTCATTAGCCCGCGGGCCAAATCGGCCTGCCTACGGTTTTTTTAGTATTATTTACTCGTATATACTTTTTGGTTTGTTTATCTTTATATTTACTAGTATATTAATAAACTAGTAAGACTTCATGTGTAATGATGTTAAATATTTGTCATCCAGTCTTTATTTTTATTTTTTTATGAATAGTTATAGGGTATTAACGCGGAAGAGAGACTTAGTTCACATAAAATATTATTTGATTCGTTAATATTTTTATTATGTAAAAAAGTGTTTCATGTGTATTCACAAATCTTAATATCATTCTCAAATTTTTAAAAATATAAAATAAATAAATACGGAAGAAGAAGAAAAAAAAAGACGATAAAGACATAATCCAACAAAATAAAAAAAGACACCTCTATGTACATTTATTGTGTACATGTAGCATTTTCCAAATAAATAAGTCCATCAATAGTAATTACTAATTAACAAACCGCGGCCGAGGAGCCCTTCGTGAAAGAAACGAGTTGCGCGGGAGGTTCACGTAGACGTAGTAGAATGAAAGTGAAGAGACTTGAAACTTTAACGACGCAAGTTAGAAGTTAGAAGTAAAAGAAGAAAGACTAAATTTAAATAATATAAAATTAATAAATAAATAAATAAATAAATAAACGAGTTGGAACGCGGGCCAGCCCGCCTCAGCCCGCTTTAGACCGCGGGCCGAACGGGGCGGGGCCAAATAGGCCCGCGATTGAACGGGCTGGTCAAGTAAAGGCTCAAGCCCGTTCATTTAGGCGGACGGACGGGCAAGCCCGCGGACCATGGCCCGTTTTGACAGTGCTACTCCATGTTTTAAATACCGGTTCGTACCGGCCGGTATTACCGGTAATACCGGATACCGGTGGTCCGACCGGTACATTTACACTCAAAATACCGTTTTGGCCAAAATACCGATTTCGTACTAGAAAATACCGGTTTTACCGACAAATACCGGCCAAAATACCGGTCAAAATACCGGTTTATGCCATTTTTTTAAAAAAAATATTTTTAATAGATTTTTATTATTTTATTTATATAAATTGAAATATCTACACTTAACTTTAATATGTTTATATTGTTATTAGATGTTAATTTATCTTAATATTAATTAAAGTTAGTTTTGTATATTATTTATATAATAATAACAAATTAATTTAATATTTATTAAAACTGGTAAAATAGACGGTAATACCAGTCGTACCGGTAATACCGCATACCGGTCGCTACACCGGTATGACGACCGGTACGGTTTTTAAAACATTGGTGCTACTAACATTGGTGCCTCGGGTCGACCCATTTTCTATCTAGGATTCGTCATAAACCTCTTCTAAAACCCCTGAAATGTACATTAGCCGGCGAGAGGAAAGTTTTGTTTATCCCACCGCGCTTAAAGTAACGTCCCACGTTCGCCAGAAAACCACCAATAGACTCTGACAGCCCGATGAATCAGTGCTGAGATCGAAGATGCACTTTGGGTTTCGACGAATGCGTCACATTTTCCGGGTTATGCCCAAGATTTATCCCGGTAAATGATGCTACTGCAAACGCTAATGAATGATTTTCATGCGTTCATTTGCTATGTGTTGATTTCTGTGAGTGTGGGTCTGTGTGTTTGAGCTGTTTTACCTCTCATCTTCGGACGGGGGGTGCCTACGGTGCTGTTTTACACAGCACCTGTTGTGTTTGGTCCCCCACCATTGGATCATGCTAAGTTAACATTGCCTTCAAGTTATGGATTCTGCCATTTATTTGCTTGGTTTATCTTGTTAAAGGTACTCTACATCACTTATCTGAGGCGGGCGTAAATGGTTTAGCTAGTGCTCGTTCGACTGGTAGGTGGTGTAATGCGAGCAGTAACATCTCTAGGAGGCTAGATTTGGCAGGTTGTCAAGAGCGAAGGTAGGGGTTTCAATTTTTACTGGGTATTTTTTTTTAACTTCTACTCTAACTATTTTGTATTGTAGCAAGAATTAGATAATTCAGAAGCTGAAACAAAGTGCAGCTTCTTGATTATATGTATTGAATTTGATGCAGCAGGAAGCATATGAAACTTGTGTTCTGAGAACACAACGAAGAAGAAACTGTTTTCTTTTCTTTTCTGATTCAATAATACAATAACTGCTGTTCACAATGTTCGTACAGTTATTTATAATATCTATCCTAAACACTTAGACTTAAAACTCCTCCTATTACAAGCCCAACACACTAACATAAATAAATAACCACAAGCCCAACACACAACATAACTAAATGCACACAAATACTAAAATAAATATAATAACAATAATAATCACACTAAAGCTCGGAGCCGATCATATTATCGAGATATGCTAATGCAATCTCGTCGGCATCAGAATTGGACAGGGGTGTGAAGTTCTTTTTGTTGGATTAAGTTATCCTTTTGGCAAATGCATACAGTAATCTTTATGTTGTGTTGTATCAATCAGGTCGAATACTAAAAGGTGGCAAATATCTTCCATGAATATGTATGTAAACTGTGTTGTTGGTGTATTGTATTCTTCTGAACCAAATTGGATGAATATTTTCTCTTTTTGGGCTGCAGAGCATCAACCTAAACCTAAACTTTGTCCAATTTCAATGGTCTGGTTATATAGTTCTTTTTTGAATCAGTAATTTTGCTACTAATTGGACATCTGTAGTTAAACAGCCAAACCAATTGTGTGAGCAATTACAAAATTTTGATCTTTGTATGACCATCTTCTCATAGGTGTTATAATATTTCTTTATTCCACTTCAAGTCTATAAAGCTAATCAGTTTTTTCCATGAGTGATTCTCCCTCCCTTCTTCCCTCTCTAGCATTCTAACTTGTTAATGATAGCCTTTTCCAGGTATTCCTCCATATCGAACACAAAGCGTCCTACCTCTTCGGATGAGTTTTGGTCAGTGCTTAGGTCTTCTCTTAATCAGCCAAGAGGTAAGAGTGCTTGTATTTTTGAAGCTATTATTGCTCATTCAAATGTTACAAGAATGGATTAGATCAAGACAGTGAGATTTATCTGGGGTTGTTATCCGTGTTGTAGAAGTTAGGGATTGGAAATTTTCAGGAGTCTTGAGGAATGAAGATATGATTTCATGGTCTGCCTGAGGTTTATTTGGCACGTCATATGTTGACCTCTGTTAAGTTCACGTATCGCCTGTGTTCCCCGTCTGAAGTTTTTGGGCTTGTGTTATTTGAGTAAAAAGTGGTTGCTAATATTACTGTTAACATTGCTGTATCTTTAGACAGACTCAACAGATTAATCTATGATGTAAGATTTCAGTGTTATTTGCTAAATCAGACTCTCATACGAATGTACTTCTAGGCCCTTATTGGTGCTGGTTAAACTCTTCTTCGGGCAGCAAGACTTTATTCAAGGAAGACCAAGTTTTCCTAGTTCTCGTCGAGAAATTTGATGATGGTTCTTTGGGAGCTAAACAAAGTACTGTCAAGATGTTTGAAATAGCAAAATCACTTCAACAGAGGTAATGTCCAAGAAACTTACAAGGTCTCAGTGAATCTAGGGTTGACTGAAAAGCATGATCATGGCCGTGCTTTACAATTTTTTTAGTTGCAGGTATTCCTTCCTTCAAGTTCTGGTTGTACAACACGGAAAATCAATGTGTCTGAACAATGCATCTAAGCATTTCCTCCAGAGAATCATTAAGGAATATGTTACTTTTCCTATCTTGTTATTTAACAAGCAAAGTATATCTGAGGTTGGTATTCATTGAAAACATGTTGGTGGAGATTTGTTGGCTTCATTCTTCTAAATGTTAACTTGAAGATGTAAATAATTGCTTATGCATGAGAGATGTACCAACCTATTAATTTAAGAAAATGTGTTTATTGTCACTGCTTGCTTTTTTTTTTCCTTTTTTTTTTTTTCCTTTTCTATGCTGTTGTTTTAAGTTGGTATTATGAGCAGAAAAACACAGCCATGCCGTTAATGCAATTGGCAATCTTGAAACTTTTGTGTGTACTCTTGGATTATTCTTTTTATCATTAGTCCGTATGCAAGTGATAGAACTTCAAATCTATTGCAGCAATGGTGATTAGTTATTGATTGTGAATCATTTAAGGACGAATTCCTTGCTTAATTTGGATGTGTAAACCATTTAGTTGCCACAAGGTTTGTGAATTATATTGGGACCTACTTTTCTTTATTTTTCTTAATAATTTCCCCAAAATGATCACAGTTTACGACTTTTTATAGAGCATACTTGATATATAGTTCTTTGTTTGCTTTGTATCCCCTTCGGTACGTACTTGGTTGTTTTCTTTACTGCTCTTAAATTAGGACTTTACAATCATCTTTTACTGCCTTGATTCTCGTCATATGCTGGCAGATATATCAAAAATGTTGTAATATATATGCATACAGTGTGTGTCAAGCAGATTCTCTTTGGCTGATAATGAATGACCTAAGAAAAATATTTAGTGTATATCCTTTTTGATGTACCCTTTGACAGATCACATGCTTCGATTCAAACTATTGTGGCATGTTCCTTTTTTTGATTGTTGAACTGATACCCTTTTTTCTATACACTTTCCCCCCACCTCTTCTCGTAGGTATGGATGCAAAAGGCACCCTGCGTCATCATTTGCAAAGGTTTTTCTCAAAATCCTATGATTTACCCTAGCGAAGATGTAGATCTTAAGACACTTGATGAAGGTACTAGTGCTCATCACATTTCCTTGTTTGGATAGATTGAAGAAGATTATTGTTATATTGCAGTTTAATTTGTTATGGATTTTTATATAAATTCATCAATGACGACAAGTTTATACAAACTTCAGAAACTGGAGTGTGGAAAAAAATAATCAGATACTTTTAAGTTAGATGCAAAATAAGAAAGCCAACCATGATTTTTTTCTTCCCTTCCATGTGCTCAAATACATTAAGCTGTTACCCTGAACAATTTCATTGGAGATTCGGCATTTTAAGCTTTTTTTTTTTTGCCGATATGTTTACTCAAATGGTAAAACACAAGGACGCTTTTCTTTTGGAGGAAATCTTTTGTCAAGTAGGTTACCAGTATTTTTATAAATATGAATGCCAATTTATAAAAACGTCCAATTTCTTCTCGATGGAAGAGGAGGAAAATAACCATTATGAATGCAAATATTTGATTAATGGACCAACACTTTATGTCCATTTCGACTTTGTCTAGTGATCTTTCTGCATTACTTGAAGTGTATTGATGTCTCGCATTGGTGTGATCTAATCTAATGTGCTTGATACAACAGTAATGAATATCTCTGAGTTTTAACTGCTATCAATTGGCAGCAATTCGTGGTCTGAAGGTGAAACATGACACGGGAGATAATGTTAATGATGCGAAGAGTACTTGGGTCAAGCCCATTGAAGTTATTAAGGAACCAGATGTTTGTTCTGCTTCACGAAACTTACTGTTTTCTTTCCCAGGTAGAGGCTTTTCCTTGCTTTCTGCAGATTTTAGTAACCAGATACTTGTTATCTTTTAATTCAAAATTGTGTCAATTTTCTTGCAGGTTGCATTTCAGTTGAGGAAGGTGGTGATCGCTTGTTCCTTTCCGATGTCAACCACCACAGGGTTATCGTGTTTGACAACCATGGGAAAATTTTAGATGCTGTGCGTGCTGTTTTTTAATATTTAATTCTTTTTTAGGACCTCATTTATGTTTTTTAAAAAATGGCTTCTCAAGTACATAGAATGAGAGTGCACAAATTCAGATCTAATCTATCCTGTCAGATTGGTTCATCTCCTGGATTTGAGGACGGAGAGTTTGAGACTGCAAAGTTAATGCGCCCTGCAGCTTCATTTTATCTTGCCTCTGAGGATAGCCTATTTTTTATCGACTCTGAAGTATGCGCCTCCTGATCAACTGTGAAAAGAATATCATTTCTTGTATTTCCATGTAGACTTCTGGTTTTTGTTCATTAATATTTTCACTCTGTAATTACAGAACCACGCAATTAGGAAAGCTGATATGGAGAGGAGGGTTGTGGAGACGGTTTTCCCAGTGACTGGTGATAGCAAGAGGAGCAAAAGTTTATGGAATTGGATTCTAGATAAAATATGGATGAACAGGAATATAAAACCAAATTCGGAAGAGTTCAATTTTGACTCATTTTTGTTCCCTTGGCATATTCTGAAGTCATCCGATGATGATACCTATGTACTCGATCAAAGGTAGAACCTTTATTGCTTTCGTTTTGCAGCTGCTGGTTTCATTTTCTAATATTATTTTTAGGTGCTCGGACATTATAACTTTCATTATTAATTGACTAAATTAATCTTTTTACAAGTGCCTGACCTAGTATTATATCTTTTCATCATGCACGGTCTAGCTTTGGAACTCTTTGGACCATAGATTTGGAATCAGGCTCTGTAAAAGAAGTTATAAAAGGTATTTCTTTTGTTGTCCCTCTCTCTCTCTCTTTTTCTTTTTCAAAATTTCCTTCCCTGCCAATTCACATGTAAATTACTCTGGTTCACTAACGTATCGTTAACTGAAAGAACCTTCAAAGATTATGGAGAAATGTGGGCAGGCGATCTTGGAGAAATGCGCTCCATTGGAACATCTGCCTGCTGATTGGCTACAGCAACGAGCACATTCCACGTGCTCGTTTGAGGGAGTTCCATATGCTGGTCTTATGTCTTCAGTGGCAACTTGTGGGGACCACATACTGATGTCTGATACAGGTATTCAAACTTGTCAATGTTTTCATCACTCGTACTTCTGTTTATTGTGTGTGTGTGTGTGTGTGTGTGTGCGTGTGTGCTATACTATAAGATGTTGACTACTTGTATTTTCTGAAGTTGGTCAGACAGTGGTTAAGTTCGGCAGGGAAGCTGGGTTGGCAATGAGCTTTAAATTCACAAACTTTGGGGTTTTAGGGCTTCCTTATTGGATAGTGTCCTCTCTCGAACGAGTCTACTCTGCGTGAGCAATGGATTTGGAATTTCTTTCAGCTAGCCTTCTTTTACTATATGATTTCATTTATATTATCTAATTTCCACAGAGATGATCCATACGGAGACCCTGATCATTCTCAATGCTTTCGCTTATTGCCAGGTATTCACTTATTTTTTATTATGAACCAAATTTCTATAATTATCAGGTTTTCCTTGCATACACTGTCTTATACGTCAGTCTCTTCACTAGTCTCTTCGTTATGTTAATTGAGAAATAAAATCCATGTGATTATGTAGCAATTACAAATTATATAACTGAAGTAATTTTCCTTCTGTTTTTTGAGCGCTGAAAACTAATAAGCTGCATTTGGATATCAACTTATTTCATTTTCGTTTCGGTGGTTGGATACAAAATTCTCAGAAACCATGCTATTCATTTATTCTCATTTCTCTCTCTTTATTTATTAACAAAATTTTATTAAAATCAATCATTACTTTACACATTTTTCTCTATAAAAATCGCCATTAACGCATAAGGATCTACCAAACATGTTCATTTATTCGTTATTTTTACACCAAATCAACTTTAATTATTACATTTTCATTTTATATCCATTCACAATTTCAAAAGTTCTTCATTTTGCTTCCAAAAAATTTTCAACCCGATTCTCAAGTGGAAGATTTTTTTTTTTTTTTTTTTTTT